AAATCTGCTGAAATAATTTTCTGGATACGTGTGTGTGTGGAAAGTCTACATATTAATGAGGGTCAGAATTTCCTTTTTATTAGCTGTTTTAAGTTGAATTTGATAATCTATGGTTAGTCTTAGTTGCCTATCTAAATTATCTTTGCGCACAACATTTCATGCTGCAGAAACACTGGGACCTTGTGGGAACAGCCTGAAGGAAAGGGCATTTAGTTACTGGTTTCCTTCAGGGGCTTCTGGGATGATGAGCTTGGGAAGAAATCCAAATAAAGCTCCAACACACTGAAAGGACTTGATATTTTTAAGTGTTTGACTGAGTCTTTGATTTTTTCTCTGGTCACACTGCCGGCCGCAGCCATGGGACGCATCCTGGGGCCACGCAGGGAGATCTCCGAACCCTTTCCGCCGCGGTGGTGCGTGTCCTGCAGGCTTGCTCTTTCTGTACTTACAGAAATCTTTCCAATTTTCTTAACAGTAAGCTTAAAGGAGCTGGTGGCAACATTGTGAGTTCAATTGTTTGTGGCTGCTCAAAGCCTGGTTACAGTTTGAATTTGTGTCTTTTTTAAGTATATTGTGGCCTTAGTAGGTAAGCCGGGGGCATGGGGGGCGTAGGGGTGGCCCACGCCTGTCATCCTAGCTACACAGAGGGCAGAGATCTGAGGATCATGGTTCGAAGCCAGCCCAGGCAGAAAAGTCTGTGACATTCTTATCTCCAGCAAAGTACTCAGCCATTATTGGCTCAAGTGGTAGAGCACTAGCCTGGAGCCAAAGCAGCTCAGGGACATCACGGAGGCCCTGAGTTCAACCCCAAAACTGGTACACACGTGAATGCAGCAGGCGAGGTGTGCCTTTGTGGAAGGACAGTGGCCAGCAGGGGAGTGCGAGCTGGGCGCCAGTCCTGGAGCCCAGCTCTCCTCTTGAGTCGGTTACGCATACTTTCCGGGGAGTTTTTTTTAAGGGCTTAATGCTGTCGTGGCACCAAATTGCAAATGTTTAACACATGCACAGGATATACACTGCTCTAATTACCAAATAAGTGGACAATCCAATACCTTTTGGAATTTAAATGCGTACCTTGGCCCATTTTACCCTGAGGAGTGACACACGGGGTCTTTTCTCCTCAGGCCGAGGGATGGTTCTAAGCCCTCCTTATGGTGCTGTCATCCCTCGCTATTTAGGACACACTCTGAAATCCTTTACCAGCATGGATGAGGTGCTAGGAGCCAGAACCAGAGGCTGCTCTTCCTTTCCATTCCTTTCGCAGCTTACGGCTTTATCTGCTTTCCTTTTTCAATCTAAGATGATCCTGAGTCTTCACTTTTTTTCTACCAGATTCTCAGAATTGTCCTAAGTTTGAAGGGGGAAAAGTTTGATTAGTCCCATTTCTACCAGTGCCTCCTGAGCCTGAACACAATGAGGTCATTTTGTTAAAGAATTAACTTTATATTACATTCTTGCAGAGTAGATGTGTGTCCCTAAGGTACGACTAGCCCCGCTGATGAAATAAATATACTATTCTTTATGATTCCTCCCCCACGACCCTCTCTGTTGATTTCCAAGAGATTTTATGAATAGTCACATATTTATACAACTGGAAAAAGTATACTACTTATTTTTCTTATGGTCTGTAATAACCTATGCAAGGTTGTTAAAGGGTACACAGACCCCTTTTAAGGCATAGTTTCTTATGTCATTACTTTATACAAGCAGGTCAGATTCCATCTCAGCAACAATCTCTTGTTCTTAACCTTTCCCTCTGATTATAAAAGTAATATATGTTCATTATAGAAAACAGAAAATACACAGCACAAAGAAGGAAAGTACCCTAAGAATCATGACTTAGAAACGACTTTCTGCAGTCTGTGTTTTAACAGTTTCTTTACATGTTCTTTTAAAAAGTAACCATAATACATATGTGTGTGTGTGTGTGTTTTTACAATCTATGTTTAACCTAGCAATATATATATGCCAATAGATATGTTCCTATAACGTTGATTTTGAGGACTGTATCAAATTCTGTTTTAAATACTATCTGATTTTATTCTACTCCATTCTATATCTTACTCTATTCTATCCTAAATATTTAATCTTCTTTCTAGGGGGGAGGGTTGTGTGTGCTTTTTAAAGTATCATCCTTATTAGATGGCCCTTCTCACTTACTAATTAATTTTTTTTCTCTAGTCATTACAACCAGAAAAATCATGAGGTTCCTTTGAATTTAGGACACTGTACTACATCTGGCCTATCTTTATAATGTTAGCATTTGTCTATAGTACTGGATAATTCCATTCTAATAGTTAATACCTAAACTGAATGCAAATCAATATATGTAAACTAGGAGCAAAAAGCAAATCATAAAGGCACGGGGAATAAATTAGAAGCTGTTGTTGTTTACTGTGTCTTCTTCCTCATAGTTTTCCTCAGTAGAGTAGATGCTTATATTTCTTTGAATAATGACTTTAATATGTCTAATTCAATTACTCTTCGGGGCAGCAGAATGACTTCTCAGCTCTTTAGCTATTAGTTGTATATGATATTTAAATTGATTCTTTTAATTGATGATATTAAGTGCCAGTCATTCTGCAATGAGTTGGTTTTACGGAGAGAAGTCACATTACATTCCCTACCCTCCCAATACATCAATCTCTCCATGAATAGCCACGGAATTCTAAGCACAATAGATTATGCAAATAAGTAAACGGGCAGGTCCACATTCAGCTTTTATGGGTGGACTAGACAGAAACAAATAAAGCCAAGAGTTGGAATTTTTTAGGATGCAGATTACATGTTCAGATACAAAAATGATACATTTAATTGTCTACTATTTATGGTGGGTTGTTTTTGTTGGCAATTAGCATGATGGGAGGAGGGATGGATTTGGAAAATAACTTAAACTTTAATGCTCATTCCTGTCTCTCTCATGCATTTCTTGATTAAATACCATGGATTTTATGAGTAACTGATTCTCTGTGTAAGGAATTCTATGGCTTTTTCTCCACAAATCTAATTCAAAAAAACTCTTCTCAAGGGTTTAGAAAGTAATTCATAAAATGGAAGGAATAATAAATATTGTGCCTTAACTCACATAATAGTATAGAGAGACTTGGTACACCTGGGTATCATTTTAGTTAATTTCCACAAGAGACAAGTTTACTGTTTGGAAAAGGGTGTGTGTGTGGAGGGGGCGCAGAATTGACTGAATCTCTTATTTGCAAAAATGATTACATTATCCTAAATGAAACTGTGACTCTATTAACAACTTCAATAAGCACTGCATTTGGGAAAAATTGTTTTTAATAAAAACTTACTCAAAGTTCACTCTGACTTAAGATATACAAGTGAGGAAAAAGTACTTAGTCTGATTTATGTGTCTTTTGGAGGTGTAATTACTGGCTCTTTACTCGCCCATGTAAAACAGTGTACTTTTGTAAATGGATTTCTGGCCAGATTATGCAGCCATTTTTTTTCTTACTTTATATGTGAGAGAGAAAGAAAAAGAAATCCTGTCAATCAAGGAATTTTAAGGTTTATTTCCTTCTCAGAAATGATTGATAGCCTTTTAGATTTACAAGTTGACAAGTTAAAGGGTTCTATTGGTATAATTATGTACTAAATTCACAGTCTTTCAATTTAAATGTCCTTTTAAAACCACAAGATTATCATACCTGTATTTTGAAAAGCGGGCCGGTTGGTTTGGGCTGGTGTACAAATTGCTTCCCATTAGCCTCGGAATCTATTTGAATTTAATACAGTTTTTTAAAGTTAGTAGTAGGAATCTTACTTTTAAAATTTAGGTTAATGGAAATGCATTTTAAGTGAAGAATGTGGCACCTTTTTTTAATGTATAGCTAGATGTAAGAAATACAAGACTGCCTTTTCACTTAGTAAGGGAGAAAATACCTGGTTGAATACTTTGGTTAAAGAAGAAAAGAAATACAAAAAAATTAAAATCCCCACTGTGCCGTTACTTCGAAAATACCTGGGACCAGCTGGTGAATGGGCGGCCATCTTCCCACTCTCTCCGCTGAGACAGGTGGAAGGTGCCGGGCGGCCTGGGGTGGATTCTGAAGCAATGAGAACAGAGCGAGTGACTTCCTACGTTAGTCAGGGACTGCAGCCGAGAGGAGCCCAACAAGGCCTATTGTCCCCACTCCTTGTCATATGAAAGTGAATGGAAAGCTATGGAAAGAAGTAACTAGACTATTCCGAGAGGGGCCCAAACCTCTTTGGGGAGTGGAGTCCAGTGGAGTCCTCCCGGAGGGAGGTTTAGGTGTTTCTTTTTCTTGAAATAATTCTAATAATGGTAGTGAGTGGGTCTGTCGTTTCAGATGGAAAGGTTGAATGGAAGATGTGTTAAATTCTTGTAGACTCTACCCAGGGTCTTAGAAGGTTCCCTAAGATATTCTATCAATGGAGGGCTAGCACAGGTTTTACCCTCTCACAAGTGCTTCTAATTCTGCCACTGATTCTGATGTGACGGGGCCACAGACAAGCCCTTGGGTGTTTTGACCTGAATGTCAACTAAGGTGAATCCTAAATCTCACATCAAAAGCCTTTTACTAGCTGGGCATGGTGGTTTATGCCTTTAATCCTAGCTATGTGACAGAGTTGCACTCTGAGGCTGGTTCTGGGCAAAATGGAGATCAACTACAGTAAAATGGACTGGGCACTGCTTAAGTGCCTTACCTAGCAGCCCAGCATGCTGAGTTCAAACCCCAGTCCCATCAAAAGTAATGAAATGTATTTTGTTTCCTATCTATAATCATGGAAGAAGGGATCGGTGTTCAGAGAACCGTGCTCCTCGGGCTGCCGTGGGCCTGTGGGGCCAGCGGCCATCCACGGGGGAAACGGCCCCGCAGCCCTTTACACCCGCACTCGTGAGCAGGCTCACACTGCGATTGTGCTTTGGACTCCACGTCAGTCCCACAGGTTCCGTGTCACAGATCACGTTCGGCTTGGTTTTCTGAGAAGCTTCTAATTGTGTGACTTCTTCGTTGCAGCACTCAATGAACCCACCATCGATTATGGTTTCCAGAGGTTACAGAAGGTCATTCCCCGGCACCCTGGAGACCCTGAGCGTTTGCCAAAGGTCAGGACTACCTCCTATTTGGGGTACGGTTTGGGGCAAGGCGGTCTGAATGAATGGCAAAATGCTCGGCCATGGATTGGAGTCAGTGCAGAGATGCGGGATTCCTGTTTCTCCGCTTTGTGTGGTTTGTACTCCAGAGGGGTAAGAGCAGTCAGCACTCCCGTGCCAGGCGATGCTATGTTAGCAGGACATACTACTCATTCCATCCTCCAGTAACCTTCTGAGACCTGGGACGCTGACCGTTCTGATTTTAAGAAAGAAAACAATGATGCTAAGAAAGCTTAACTAACTTGCCCCTGGTCACAGAGTATGTCATTTGCTGACAATCAAACCGACCCAGCATGGATCCAGAGTTGGAGCTGATCAATCTGTGTATCATGCCAACTCCATGTGTGTGTGCACACCAGTATGGGGCCTGCACTGGTGGCTTCTTGCTCTCTCTTGGCTTTTTGCTCAAGGATCTGTTCTGTCACTTGAGTCATACCTCTACTGCTAGCCTATTTGGTGGTTAATTGGAGATAAGAGTCTCATTGACTTTTCTGCTGAGGCTAGCTTCAAACAAGGCTCCTCAGAGCTCAGCCTCCTGAGTATCCAAGATGATTGGCATATGAGCTACTGTTGCCTGGATTATACCAGAAGCAAAACACCACCAATTTTTACCTATGTGTAGTGCTGTAGTTCTCCCTAGCCAGGATAGAAGATAAAAAGAAAACCTACTGGCAGATCTTGAGACTACAAAAATAAATTTAACCAAATCCAACATAGACATTACCATTAATTCAGAAAGAAGGAAGTCTACCTTTGTTGACTGCTGTTTATCTCTTTTGTGTCCTTGAGAAATGTGGGGTCTTGGGTGGGAAGGATGGCCAAACACAGCTGATCACAACGGTAAATCCTAGCTACACTGAGCGCAGGGGCACCCACAGGTCAGTGTGAAAGAAGTTCCCAGTATGGACTTATGTAGACCTGCCATTCATTTATGCAATGGCAGTCAAGTTTCCTGAAGGAAGCTTAATTCTGCTAAGTGAAAACCACCCAGCTGCGCCAGTGCTGTCTGGCCGCAGTCTGCAGATGCGCCATTTCTAGGTCTGCACAAACTCATAAAACACAAAAATGGAGCTAGCCTCCTCCATTCTTAGTGGATCACCTTGCGGGATCCATTGTCCTTCCAGTCTACCTGTGTGTGATGGTGTGCGTAGACAGAGCCCCATCAGGACAGGTCTGGGAACAGGGACGAGGAAGCCTGGGGCCTGTCCTCTGCCTTGCCTCCGTCAGTTCTTGGATCCAGCCTTCTCAGAATAGCCTGCGTTTGATGGAATTGCTTTCTACCTGCACGAAAGGTTCTTGAAAGCACTTGACCTCAGGGAGCAATCATTTGATTGCTTGCCCCTGACTTATTCTCGGCGAGCAACTGAACGGTCTGCTTACCTCAGGGTGAGTGCCAGTCTCCTTCCATAGTGTAGCTCTGCCACGGAGATGCTCGTAGTATCCAGAGATAACGGACTCCTATTTCTGTGCTTTGGGTGATGGTACTAAAAGGTAAGGAATAATCAAAGTAGTCGGCACCTGTAGGCATTGAATGCTATGTTAGCAAGAACTCAGTCTTGTAAGAATTTGGCTCCCTCCGTTTCCTGGGAGACACGCTGCTCACTTTATAGGGCCATGGTAGAAATGATGTGTGTCTCCGTACTGCATAGTGTCTCGGTGTCACTATGCTAGGACGGAGGACACAGACAGGGCCATCTTCTTCCCACAGCTCCCAACTAGGGAGCCATCTTCCCTCTGTGGCTAGCATGTGACCGGGTGGAAGGCAGCGCTCGGCCACTTACTAGCCATGCTGCCCAGGTCTAAGTTCATTACATTGCTTTGCCTCGATTTCCTTATTGGTCCGAGTGGGGTGGTGCTGTTACCTACTTAGTCAGGAGATTATTTTAATCGTGGCTCGGTATTCCACTGAAGGTAGCAAAGATTATTTCCCAGGAAATAATCAGCTGGGACCCTGGCTTCCGAGACTTCTTCCTTCTGACCCATGAGAGCTGGAATCTTGACCTTGTGAACTGCCATATATGTGATTTCTTTCCATGCCTCTGTTTTCTCACCTGTAAAATGGGGATAACAATCATGTCAATGTTGTCGGATCCCACAAGGATAAGCCCACGTTGTCCTCCACAGACCTCTGTCCCTTAGTTACCACGGCAAAAAAATAGGTATTGAAAACTTAAGCAACAAATCTGGTTTAAAGAAGCCAGGTTATATTTTTCTTATTCACAAAGAAAGGAGAGAAATAGGAATGTAGGGGTTGAGTGCTGTGTGCTGTGTGCTTGCTTTTGAAAACATTTTTACAGTTGCACATTATGTTCAGAAACGTTGGACAAACAGCAGAGGCCCGTGTCGCTCCTTGCCCTGGTGGCCCGCTGGTGAAGCGGCTCAGCCTTTCTTCCTGGGTTTGGGGAGAGGAATTGAGGACACCACGGGGTTGTGTGTGAAGGAAACACTCCACAGCTTGTATCTGGCCACCCGACCACTGCAAGAACTGCAAGCCCAGCCCAGGAAGCGCTTGGTGTGACTCAGAGCCTTGGGCCTGTGCTCTTGGCTCTGAGTGTTAAAGTGGAAGAGGAGTTCAAGGGCAAGGTCAGGAAGTGGCGGCTGGAGCCAGCACAGGGTATTCCTGTGGACGGGGAGCTGTGCGCTCCGGGGCCCATTGTTAGGAGTGCGCAAGTGGGCTGGCTCCACCTTCTCAGGTTCATGGTCAGCGTTTGTCAGGCGTGTTTCAGCTGAGCTGCGGACCACACACCTTAAAAAACAAACTCCGCGTTATTAAACCCATGTGTTTGCGAAGAGACAAAGCTAGATTCATACAACCACCCACGTCTTCTGTCAAATGAAACGGCTCCAAAGACCAAGCAGACAGCTTTCCATAATAATATGCCTTTGTATACAGGCTTGTGACTTTTTTCCCCAAGAACTTGGACATGCTTTGGTTACTGAAGCCCCTCTTTTGGTGAAAGTAGAAATGCTGACGTGTTCCCCATCCACCAATGGGGAAACAGGAGCAAGCTGAACCTTCTCTATAAACTATTTGGTCTCAGGACATCGATGATAGCTGCTGCTCATACACACTTAAAATCCTCACTCGAGATGCTTTTCTGGCTTGCTTTCTCGTAGCACATGTAGACAGGCAGGCAAAGGTTTCTGCTCCATCTCACAGATTTGCCTTCTCTCGATCCTGGGAAGAGAGGGAGAATCCCGTGACTTTGGGGTCAAGGGTGATTTTGCCCACAATGTAGACAGGAGGGCGCTGGGCCTGGGGCTGTGAGACATTCTGAGAGGCGCCAGCTGCCGTGATGCACAGACAAGGAGCCAGGTACTCTCTTGGGTTTGAAGGCCAGAGGGATCTCCACTCCCTTTCGGCTGGCTCATCACCCTCGCGGGTGCTCCAGGAGCTACGCGTAGACCGTGTGAGCAGACGCTGGGCCCAGCCAGCATTCCATGTGTGAGCTGGGAATCCTGGGAAACTGACATGTGTTTACTTCATGCCTGTTGGGAGTCTAGCTCTGCAGGATCAGGTTTTCTGCACAGGAAAGAAGCCAGAGGAGCGTGGGGCTCTTGGCCACTCGACACGGGGGAGTGCGTGAAAATTCTAAGCCTCAAGTTTCTCCTGTGTGAAGCAGTCACCCCTGCAGTTAGGAGAGTGTGCAGAGGTGTAGACTCACGGATGCCGGGATGGTGCGTGTCCTCCACTCCACAGAGGTGGAAGCAGAGCCTCCGGAACTCTGGAGACTTGTTATAAAGTCATGGCAAGCAGCAGGAAAAATAAAGTTCAAACTCAGGTTCTCGGGCTCAGAAGAATCACTGTGCCGATGACATTGAGTTTCTGCTTGTCCTTCAGACTTGGCCACTCCGCCCTTCTGCTCGGATGAGGCTGGCCTCTCTCTCCTCTTCCTCACCAGCCTCTGGCTACCTCCTGGCTCCTTCCTCTCATTCCTCAGTGGACAGGGCTGGCATGGAACCTCCACAGGCAAGTGTGTGGATTGGCTCCCAGAGCGAGTCCTTGTGCTTGAGAAGAGAAAGCAGTTAGTGAAAAAGTAACAAAGGCTACATTTGTGTATTTTGTTTTATGGAGCTGAAAATATCTGGCAAATTGATCCAGTGGGAGTAATAAATACACATTACTTTATCTTGTTCTCCATGTCCTATACCCCTGAGCCTTGATAGAACAACACTACTTAATAGACTTAAAAAAGAGTAATTACACTCATTGGTGGTGTGATTTTTCAGCCCTCCCAGCCCTGCCTGACCTTCTAATTTAGCTCACCGTGTCTAACGAATGCATTTATATTTGTCTTTTATGAAGCATGTACACTGTAAAATTGGCGGTTGAGCCTCTGCAAGCTGTCCTTCCCAGGTTTCCAAGCTGGGCAAGTGGCAGGAGAAGCGACCCCAGCCCTTGCTATACACAGCACGCAGACGTGGCCACCAGCCCTCTCTATACACAGCACGCAGACGTGGCCACCAGCCCTCGCTATACACAGCACGCAGACGTGGCCACCAGCCCTCTCTATACACAGCACGCAGACGTGGCGACCAGCCCTCGCTATGCACAGCACGCAGACGTGGCCACCAGCCCTCTCTATACACAGCACGCAGACGTGGCCACCAGCCCTCTCTATACACAGCACGCAGACGTGGCCACCAGCCCTCTCTATACACAGCACGCAGACGTGGCCACCAGCCCTCGCTATACACAGCACGCAGACGTGGCCACCAGCCCTCGCTATACACAGCACGCAGACGTGGCCACCAGCCCTCTCTATACACAGCACGCAGACGTGGCCACCAGCCCTCTCTATACACAGCACGCAGACGTGGCCACCAGCCCTCGCTATACACAGCACGCAGACGTGGCCACCAGCCCTCGCTATACACAGCACGCAGACGTGGCCACCAGCCCTCTCTATACACAGCACGCAGACGTGGCCACCAGCCCTCTCTATACACAG